GCATCTCTTATGTTCTTATGTTCTTCTTCGCCCAAAGAGTGATTAACACATGGAATTCACTGCCAGAGTGTTGGACTGGATGGGCCATTGGCCTAATCCAACATTGGCTTCTCTTATGTTCTTATGCTCTTATGTAGAAAAGAGCAAGAGTCCAGTAAAACCTTAAAAGGCTAACAAAATTTGGAGCAGGGGATGAGTTTTTGTGAGTCACTGCTCACTTCTTTAGCTAGATCGAGATGGCTAGCTGAGTTCGTCCGTCTTTAGCAATAGAAAAGAGCAAGAGTCCAGTAGCACCTTAAAGACCAACAGATTTTGTGGCAGGGGATGGGCTTTCGTGAGTTGCTGCTCATTTCTTCAGATACATTTTTTTTAAAAAAATATTTTTATTGGTATATTAAGAACAGTATATAAGCACATCATATATAATTCGTTTACCATTGCTCAATACAGTACTACCTATGGTTATCAAATGACACTATGTTCCCCTCCGTACGTTAGTATTTATAGTCGAAGTAATAGTTGTTTTGGGTATGGGTGCAGAGCAGATACATGAGCAGAGACTCACCAAAGATCCTCCCCTGCCCCAAATTTTGTTAGCTTTTAAGGTTCTACTGGATTCTTACTCTTTTCTACTGCTACAGACAGACTAACATGGCTACCCATCTTGGTCTGTTTCCAAGAACCTTGTGAGGGCAAAGCTGAGTCACATTTCTGGGCAAAAGTCTATGTTGATGGCCGAAGGCAATAGATAGAAGGTAGCAGAGCTATTTGTTAGAAAAAATTGGAGTGGGTAAATCAACCTTTCCCTTCTTGGTTCAATAGGCTAGTTCATGCTTTTTTTTGGGGGGGGGGTGCATCACTGTAAGTAAATCATGAAGCTGATGTTGCTTTGTGTAAAGAACAGAAGAGTTCTGCTGGATCAGACCAAAGGCCCATCAAGTCCAGCATTTTGTTCACACAGTTGACTAGTTGCCTCTACAGTACAAATTATTTTATTATCCCCAGTAGGGTCCCAAAGTGGTTTACAATCTTTCTCCTCCATCTTATCCTCACAACAACCCTGTGAGGTATGTTAGGCTGAGAAATGGTAACTTGTCCAAGGTCACCCAGTGATGCTCAAGTGGAGATTCGAACCTGGGCCTCCCAAATGCTAGTCTGACGCTCTTAACCACTGCACTACTCATGCAGTAGAAAAGAGCAAGAGTCCCGGAGCACCTTAAAGACTGTGAGACTCATGAAACCTCATACCTTGTCACAAATTTGGTTAGTCTACTGGACTCTTGCCCTTTTCTACTGCTCCAGACAGACAAGCGCAGCCACCCATCTTGATCTGTCTGAAGAAGTGAGCAGTGACTCAGGAAAGCTTCCCTGCCACAAATGTTGTCTTTAAGGTGCTCCTGAATTATTGCTCTTTTCTCCCGCTACAGACAAACATAGCTACCCATCTTGATCTACTCCACCCATGCAATTTCTAGTAAGTGTGATGCATTGTGCTGTAAAAGCTCCTATGTGCTGTGTAAACATGTGACGGACTGTGAAAGGTGAATGCCTCAGAGAGCCTTGAGTGAGAGGCTGCTCAAAGGGATTTGATTGGTTAATGTCACTTGAGGAGAAAGACTTGGGAACTAACTGCTGAAGTGTTTAGCCAGTTCGAGTTTAGCCCTGGCTGTGGAATGTTTAACTGTGACTGAGGATTTAGCTCGGACTGAGAACAGTTTCATACTGACTGAGGACTGGGAAGGTTGGCAAGGAGGAGTGGGAGGATCAGTGAAAAACCCCATTTGGGCTAGGAAAAGGGGCAGAGCTTCTGTTTTAGAGAAGGAATTCCCTGCCCGGTTGGAAAGGGTGAGAGCCAGTTTGGTGTAGTGGTTAAGTGTGTGGACTCTGATCTGGGAGAACCAGGTTTGATTCCCCACTCTACTTGCAGCTGCTGGATGTTCTGATGAGCTATCTTTGAAAGGGCAGTTCTTGAAAGAGCTCTCTCAGCGCCACCTACTTCACAGGGTGTCTGTTGTGGGGAGGGGGAGGGAAAGGAGTCTGTAAGCCACTCTGAGACTCCAAGTGAAGGGTGGGATATAAATCCAATCTCCTCCTCTGCCTCTTCTTCAAAGAGTGGAGTGATCCCTGGTGTGTTTAGAGAAGTATTTTGGGTACTGGTAGTGTATCCCTGCCTTCTGGAACCTGAAGAGTCAGTTAAACTCAAGAAAGTGAACTGGAGTGTTTAGGAAACACTGCAACTTGTCTCAAGGACTCTTTAAGACTTTGAAAGGCTTAAGAGCTCTCAAGGTGCTGGAAACATATGAGCTGGAGTTTGTGATTATAAGAATTCACCACATTATATTTAATTCACCTCAGATATTTTACTGCTGATTTCACCTGACCTTTTCCCCACCACGTTGAATAAAATACCTTGTTTATTTTCTAGATGTTCTAAATCCTCTTGTGCTATTTTCAGAAGTTTATGTTAAAGAGGGTGATCTTGTCTCTTCCCCTCAAGTTCCTGGGCTGAACCAGCATCAGAATACAAAAAGTGAAAGTGTGGGACAGCCGTGTATCTCCAGATAAGAAAATTAAGGGGCTGCTCAGCCAAGAAGGAAGGAAAAAATGGAAAATCCTGTAGTCTGAGGGAATGGGGCTAAGTCACCATAGCAAGTTTCTTCTTACTTCCCTGCCCCATAAGTGCTCACAGTACTGTCCTCAAGCTGTTGTGGGTCCTTCCTTTGACAAAGACCTGAGGAGTGCTTCGCAAATGGTATCATCCATCTTGTGAAAGACTTCTGAAGAACCACCACGTGCTGTTTTTGTGGTGCGTTAGGTCAGACCCAAGAAAAGATATTGTGCTAGAGCTTTGGGGGGCATTTTCTGTGGCCCTCTCTCTGCAAACAACTGAGAGCTTTATGCAACGTAAAGAAGAAGAGGAGATTGGATTTATACCCCGCCCTTCACTTGGAGTCTCAGAGCGGCTTACAAACTCCTTTCCCTCCCCCTCCCCACAACAGACACCCTGTGAGGTGGGTGGGGCTAAGAGAACTCTTACAGAGACTGCTCTTTTTCAAGGACAGCTGTGCCAGAGCTTGTGAGTGACCCAAGGTCACATCAGCAGGTGCAAGTGGAGGAGTGGGGAATCAAACCCGGTTCTCCCAGATTAGCGTCCGCGCACTTAACCACTACACCAAACTGGCTTTACTGAACAATTCAATGGGAAGAAAAATAACAGACCCTTAGGCACGTTTACTCCCATGTAATCCTAGGTAAGCATTCATAAGAGAACAGTTTCAAGTTGCGTTCATGGTTTTGAATAAGCGTATTAGCAGGGGACAATGTGCACCATCTGTTGGAAGCTTACTTGTGGGTAGGGAAGCACCCACCCCAGTAAAACCGCATGAGCAATGCACAGATTTTTCCTCTTCCTTGCAGGGTGTGCTTTCAAAGCACAGCGGTAGGGAAGCACCCACCCCAGTAAAACCGCACAAGCCATGCACAGATTTTTCCTCTTCCCTGTAGGGTGTGCTTTCGAAGCACAGCCATCTCCTTTTATGGAGATAAATCAAGACGGGTAGCCGTGTCAGTCTGTAACAGTAGAAAAGAGCAAGAGTCCAGTAGAGCCTTAAAAGACTTAAAATTTGTTTTGAGTCCAGCGATACCTTTTAAGACCAACGAAGTTTAATACTGGGTATAAGCTTTCGTGTGAATGCACAGGAAAGCTGCTGCGGTGGCTCAAGTGGTTAAGACGCTGAACTGCAGGCTGGAAGGTCGGTACTTCAGCAGTTCGAGACCCAAGTGCCGCATGACGAAGTGAGCTCCTGTTTCTGGTTCCAGTTTCTGCCAGCCTAGCAGTTCGAAAGCAAGAAATTGCAAGTAGATAAATAGGTACTGTTTCAGTGGGAAGGTAACAGCGTTCTGTGTGCCTTGGTGTTTAGTTACGCCGGCCACATGACCACGGAAAGGTCTTTGGACAGCGCTGGCTCTTTCGCTTGGAAACAGAGAATGAGCACTGCAACCCTAGAGTTGTATTCGACTGGCTTTCAAGCAAGGGAAACCTTTACCTTACCGGAAAGCTTATACCCAGCATTAAACTTTGTTGGTCTTCAAGGTGCCAATGGACTCAAACTTTGTTCTGTTGTTTCAGACCAACACGGCAACCCCACCTGAATCTAACCAAATTTGTGGCAGGGTATGTGCTTTCATGAGGAGCTGCGGTGGCTCAAGTGGTTAAGATGCTGAACTGTAGGCTGTGGAAGGTCAGTAGTTCAGCAGTTCGAGACCTGAGTGTGCCGCATGATGGAGTGAGCTCCCATCTCTAGTTCCAGCTCCTGCCAACCTAGCAGTTCGAAAGCAAGAAATTGCAAGTAGATAAATAGGTACCACATCGGTGGGAAGATAACAGCATTCCATGCGCCTTGGTGTTTAGTCATGCTGGCCACATGACCATGGAAACGTCTTCGGACAGCGCTGGC